TATATATATATATATATATATATATATATATATATATATATATATATATATATATATATATATATATATATATACGGGTACGGGGCGGGGCAGGGAGTGTGATACCCGTCCCCGTCCCCATCCCCTGTTTGAGCCAAACGGGGATCCCCGTCCCCGAGACCCGGTTTAACGGGGAATCCCCGTCCCCGACCGGGGCGGGTGGACCGGGTTTCCAGACGGGTCGGGGCCAATTCCCATGCCTAGGGGACAATGCATCGGGCCAAGTCTAGGGCACTTCTTGAAATTGAAGGTTCTTTGAGAGAACACTATGGAAAGCTATGGGATTATGAACATGAAATTATGAGGCCAATCCAGGATCTACAGTCAAGATGGACGTAAATTTAATAGCAGATGAAGGTAATGAGTTTAGGAGGTTTTATGTATGCTTCAAAGCATTCAGAGATGGGTGGATTGGTGGATGTAGGAAGATTATAGGACTAAACGGTTGTTTTTTAAAAGGGGGGTGGGATGCAAAGGAGAGTTACTATTAGCAATCGGTTGAGACAGTTGTTATTTAAGAAGCATTTTTTCAACTAGATAGGGCTTGTGAGTCTGTAAAAAATGGTATATGCGAGTAATTAAATTCAATCATTATTGATGCTAGAAAAAAAACCCATAATCATAATGTTAGAAGAGATATGAATATTTGTTGTGGAGAGGAATTACCAATGTCAAAGAAATCACAACAATGGGAATCAGTTGTATGTCTAGCCATAAGGGAAAAGTTAAAAAAGTGTGGAGAAAATCACAGGTACATATTTATCTATAATGATAATATGATTATATATGATTATGTATTCTTTTGTCTTGCATAGATATTGGTTTGTTATCTGTGGCGGTGGAAATGTGTTTGAAACAAGAAATCTTTATGAAGCAATGATGGTGGATCTAGATGCTAAAAAATGTAGTTGCAGATTATGGGACATATCATGCATTCCTTGTGTGCATTCCATAGCTACCATACACTTCATTAACAAGGATCCAGAAGATTATGTCAGTGAATGGTTTAAAAAAGATCTCCTCAAAATGGCGTACGTGCATCATATAAAACCATTGAATGGAAGCAATATGTTGTTTCCAACACCTTTCATCAAACCAAAACCCACCTAAAGGAAGGAGAATGTCTGGCAGACCATCTATCAAGAGGAAGAGATCAGAATCTGAGAGCCAAGGTACAAAAGTAACCAAGTCTGGAAAGACAATGACATGTAGAAATTGCTTGGAAAAGGGCATAATGCTAGGACTTGTAAGAATGAAAAGAAAGACTCACCACCTAACCCCGTTAAGCCAAAAGGTAGGTCGAGATTGAACATTCCAAAGCCGACTACAACAAGAAGAAGCTCGAAAGGCGAAAGAGTCAATAAAGGTGGAAGAGGGATCGAAAGTAGGAGGATACCAATGTATACATAATGCGAATGTTTCTTATAATCCAATCATCAGAGAAGCAATGGTTGGGGTAAGTCATTAGTTATTATTCATATTCAAATGACAACTATTTATATTGAACTACTACTTACACTTCATTTTTATTAGAGAAATAATTAGGTGTGCCATGACCAGCATGGCCAAATGATAACCTTCCACATTTAATTTCAAGTTTGGGGGACCAATTTGGTCATGAAGTTCAAGAAAATTCGGATGTTGGTGATGAAAGTGAGGTTGATGGTGTACATAAAAGTCAAACGGTTGATGAGACTCTTACTTTAAACTAAGCATCACTTTGTTATTGCAACTGATATAACTCTTGGTATATTCCAATTAGAGGGATAAATATATATTTTGGGGATTTTTTTGGTATGTTTGTGAAGGGATGGACATTTTTTGGTATATTTTGTAAAAGGATGGGCATTTTTTTTGTATATTTTGTGAAATGATGAGTTTTTTTTTGGTATATTCTGTGGAAGGATGGGAACTGTTAAGGTATGTTTTGTTAAGAAATGGATATAATTTCCATATGTATCTGTTTATGCTTTAGGCATAACTTTTGAATGTTTAGAATTATTAATGCAAATGATATTGTATTTGTCTATTTAATTGGTTCGGTTAATATACATTGGTTCGGATCGGGTTTTCTCGGTCGGGTTTTTTGGATAATTCGGGTAGGGTAGGGTTTTGCACAGCCCTAGCCTCAAGGCCTTGTTAGGTTTCCTTCATTGGAAACAAATTTAAGGTTATTATACAAACGGTAGTCATTCAAGTCTAATATATAGCAATTACTTACCTCTCTTCCTAAATCTTCCGGTGGTGTTATTGGTGTATTTTTTGCTCGGTATAGTTTCTTTGTAGGTAGAAAGCCAAAATCGCTGTCTTCAAGCTTTGTGGACTCTCGTTTCCTTGGAAGTCTCATATTCCAAGCAGATATGGCTGGTTTCTTATCCGAGAACTCAACACGTGTGCTAACTGTTGCGTCCACATATAGCAATTGCCATGGATACAGAGACAATCGTAAAAATATATAATTATATTTAGTTATGAATCAATACTCAAACATTTTATAGCTTGTCATGAAACATTTTTCAACAATTTTCAGCAGATATGAAACAGAATTAATTGACTGTCATCAACCCATATGAAGCAGGCATGAAATAGAATTCACCTTACTCTCTATGTGAATCAGATTTCATTGTATCATGAGAACCACTATGCAACAGACGTGAAACATATTTCACCATACCAAATGAACCCATATGCAATATATGGACCATAATGCTCAACATGATCTAAGATGCTCCATGATTTTGTACGAGTGGATCAAGAACATATCCCATCCAAGTTATACAAGTAAGTCATGAT